AATGGTGTTTTAATATTACTATAATTATATTTTTATAGTATTACTCTAAGGGAAAATAATTATTTCATCCCTGAGATTTACCATAATTATCTAAGTAGTCCTAACTTTTATATAAATATTTATAATTATATAAATAATTATTTATTTCTGTCATATTACTTAATGACTGAATATATAAATTCACCCATGAATTTTGTTATATTAATACTATGGCAACCTCAACTTTTACTTTAACCAATTAAATATTTTAACTTGTAAAATTCTACCTATTGAACACTTCAACTTGGAGAATTATTTTATTGAACACTTCTACCTACAAAATTAGATCAAATAAATACCTATTAAATAGTTGAAAATGTAAAAATTATTGTTCTAAAAATTATGCTGACCACATATCATATCAATATTTTGAATATAAAAGCCAAAAATTCTTAAAATTACTGCTATTAATGTGGAAAAGTGTATAATGTTACTAAATTTTCAAATTCAAGTGTATGATAGATTATTCATAAAGTTTAAGGTGCCACAAGGTTAAAATTGAAAAGTTCATGGGTGAATTGCCGTTACTTAATCCTTCCATAAAAAAGCATACTTTTGTAGTTAATTTTTCATCAAACTACTCTAAATTCTCTAACTCCCAATCTCAGTTTTCTCTATTCGCAGTGAAAACAATTATTTTGGCCCTCCAATCCTTATTTCAAAAGCATAGATATCTAATCATTTTTAGCTTCAATTATTATTTCAAGCTATATTCTTTTCATCAAAATAGGTATTTACTATTCTAACCAACTATAGTCGCAGACAAAAATATATTTGCTACTATAAAATCTAGCCCTGACCACAGTTCTAAAATCGCCGGTTTCGGTTATAAAAAAGGTGAAACCAAAATCGAACCGCTTTTAGATGGTTTCTTTGATGATTTTAGAACTGTCGGTTTCAGTTTTGTTCTATTTTTTTTAACTTTTTAAATGTTTTTTTTAGTTTTGTAGCTTAAATAAATAACAATAATAAATATTAATATTGAAAAAAATTAAACCAATTTAATAAGAAGTCTTAAAAGTTATTTTAAAAAATTATAATAAAATAAAAAAATAAGTTGAGAGTTCTTTTACGAACATGTTTTTTATGGTTTCAAACCAGAGCAGTCGGTTTTAAACCAAAACCGCCAGTTTGATTTCAAAAAATGAAGGACTGGAAATGAACCTTAAGTGCACAATTTTGATTACGATTTTGAACCAAGACCGTTGATTATGATTTAGTGTCTGTTTTGACTGGTTCAATTTTGGTTCAGTTCCAGTTTGAAACTTGAACCATAGTCATCCCTAATAAAACCTTTCATCTTTTTCAGTGGCTTCCTCTTTATTTCAATTTCTAACTATCACCCAAAAAAATAGAACTGATGAGAGTTGAATATGTTATTCATCAAAAGGAATAGATTTAATGTAGGATTTAATGTAGATTTCATAGTTTAAAAAATTATGAACTAGAATAAAAATTTTAAGTACAAAAATTTTTAAAAAAATTAAAGAAAGTCTGGATTTTGATTCTTACGCGAAAGAGACAGAAAACTCAAATCGCAAAAATCAAAATAAAAAAGATCAAAGAAGGTGATCTGTGCTTTAAACATTCTTCACCCAAAACTAAAGATTCTATCAAATTAAGTTTATTGAGGATGGTATTCAATTAAAGGAGGAGAGAGGTGATTCTAATTACTAGGAGTAGAGGTTGCTAGTGGCTGTCGGATGAATCGATGGAAGAAAGTAGAAGTTTTTTTTTAGGAATTTTAAAAGAGGTGATTAAAAAATGGAGAGAGATATTGGTGAAGGTTGATGATGGTTGGATCGGTATGGATACCAGGTTTAACTCTTGTGGTGGTTTGATGATGGAGACGAAGTTTGACGGTGATATGGTGATGGTTGGCAGTACAGAGTGACATTGGGTTGAGGGAGGTGAAGAGAATTTGAGTTTTGAATATTTTAGAGAGAAGAGAGGTCGATAAGAATGGCAAAGTACGTTTTTTCACTTTAAAGTAATGGAAAAAGTACGTTTTTTTAAACATAAGGAATAAGGGCTTTTGATAAAAATAATGCTTTTCAGAAAATTATTTCCTAATCTAATGTCATTTCAAAACTATTTACCAATCTAATGTTTGTCCCGACATGGAGAGAGAGTGTTGCACTGAAACCACCAATTGAGTTGATGGTTTCAGTGCAATAGAAAAAGTAACCCGTACTGATAAGTAGTCAACAAAAAGTAGTTATATAAATAAACAATAATTTTTATATCGTATTGAGAATACCAATCCAATTTGTTGTTTCAATAGAAAATGAAAATTTTAAATTGTCAATTTGCCTTTTCACTAAAACACACAATTCGTTTGGTGGTTTTAGTGCAACTATGGGATGTGACTACTAGTCAACAAAAAGTACATGATAAATAGTATTTTTTTAAGAGCCCACTAGATTAATTAGTGGTTTTAACTTGAAATAATTGTTCACTCAAAATATTTTTTCATCAAAACACACGTATGATCTAGTGGTTTTGCTTCACAATTATTTCAAGTTAAGTAATAACAACATAAGTTTCCTTACACAGTTAAAAATTACCGAGAGTAATAAAGTGCTTCAAGTTGAACTTGTATGGTGTTAAAAATGTCTTACTAACTAATACATGTAAAATTAATCATATTAATGTCTTGTCCTCCTGTACCACACTTTGGAGGCCTCCTATTACGACGTGGATTTCAATGTACTATATCTTCTCTGATACCTTGATATTCTTCTCCATGCTTAATATTTATATCAACTCATGCGAGGAGTTTGAACCACATTCACAAATGGTTGTTATGGGTTAGGAAATGTCAAATGAGTCTATTGCTCGGGTACCATCATCATCTCAAAGAAATCATTAAATGAGTGTCTAGCATGAGATGTAGATCTATCACGTGTGTCGAAAGATACCGCAGAACTATTGAAAGTAGGTATTGTATATTGAAATGGCGTTGCCTCACCTATTTCCAAGAAAGAAGTATGGATTTGCTGGGTTGCCATGATCGGAGTGTAATGAATGTTCATTGGCATTTCTAATGCTGCAAATGGTACACTTCACTCAGATTGCGGTGCAGAAGATGATGTGCTGGGTATATTAGCGTGATAACCTTCATAATAGTTATATGTCATAGTGGGAGGGACTTGAGGTATATCGTCTACTGGCAGGACTTCAATTGTAATATGTCTAGATACCATTTCCATCTCCTTCGCCTCTGTAGTTTTTTTGGTGTTTGAACACAAGGAAACTCTATAAATGGTCGGGCATGTTGAATTATAGGATGAGTTTTTGTATGAATTTCTTCATTCATTACACCGAATAGGCTAAATAATCTTCGACGAAATGATGGATTTCTACGTGTTGGTGATGTTGAACTGTGATATATATGTTGGAGCCCATCTGCTTGTAGTAAAAAAATATTATGGAAATAAGAGGAAAATTTATTATTCAATTAAATTAAGAAATTACAAGATAAGATAAAAAGATATCGAATAATTACCACAGCTCTAACTTCTGCACCTCGAAATGAAATCCAACATCTAGTTCATTGCACATATTAAATGTATTGTACCAAAACCACCATATTATATGTGTGTTTTGGTGAAAAAAATATTTTGAGTGAATAAATATTTTTTCATTGAGACCACTAATAAATCTAGTGGACTCTTAACAAAATACTATTTCCCCATTTACTTTTGCTGACTAGTGGTCACATCCTATAGTTGCACTAAAACCACCAAACGAATTGAGTGTTTTAGTGAAAAAACAGATTCACAACTTAAAATTTTAGTTTTATATTGAAACCACCAATTGGATTGATGGTGTTAATACAAAACAAAAATTATTATTTATTCATATAACTACTTTTTGCTGACTACTTGTCAGTACGAGTTACTTTTTCTATTGCACTGAACCCACAAACTCAATTGGTTGTTTTAGTGCAACACTCTCTCTCCAAATCAGGATAAACATTAGATTGGTAAATAGGTTTAAAATAACATTAAATTGGAAAATAGTTTTATGTAGAACATTATTTTTGTCAAAAGCCAAAGAGCAAGTAATATGACAGAGACAAAACTCCGAGACATTATAAATATTTTTATATAAGACAAAACTACTTAAATAATTATGGAAACCTCACAAACAAAATAATTATTTTTCCTTATTCTAACCATAATTATTTAAATTATAAATATTATTCAAATTTCTAATTATAATTAAATCTAATATTATAACTAGAATTATATTAAGAAATACTATGATTTTACGCAATAGTAATATTATAATAAGTAATAATTACAACACCTAATAAATATTATAAGTTTACAATTATACCTAATATTATTAGTATTATAACAAATAGTTCTCATAGTATGATGTTTTACTTACTAGGAACTAGTAATATTTATTGACAACAAAATAATTATTAAAAATAATAATAATAAGAAAAAAAATTATTGATTAGCTATTATATAGCTCAAACTCGAGCTTTTATTAAGCTTAAATTTGAGTTCAAATACGAGCTAATATAAATAAACCTTAAACTAGCCGAGATCCAATCAAGTTCAGAATTTAATATTTTTCTAAACAAGTCAAACTCAAGCTTTAAAATGTGAACTCGAATTTTTATGCACTTAGCGAACCAAGCCTGAACAACTTTAAGCTCGATGTGCTTAATCTTTTGCAGCCCTAGCCATAAATCTCTAAATCTCCCAATCCATAAATCCATATGCAGGAAATTAGTGCGTGAAAATCATGGAAGGGAGATAGATTGTATGAGTTCAGGCTCTAATTTTTCTAGAGCATCAAATAATCGTCGCCATGGCTGCTAGCCTTTAGAAAAATTGGTAAATATTCAACACAGGGATGACCATTTTTACATCTGCTTTGCATATGTAATAAATCGTATTTGCTTTCCAATTGTGAAAATTACTGTAAACAATTGCACAATATTTACTGTAAAACACGAACTATTTATTATGAACAAAATGTGACAATGGGAAGTACATTCCGAGCATTACAACATTCCAAGCATTATAACCACAACAATAGCAGGGCCCCATGGCTTGAAAATCGACAATGTTAGCATCTACACTTTTAATTTACTTGATCAATTGCTGCTTCTTTCATAGTCACAGTGATATTAATCCTGCACTTAAACCTCGAGGGAAATGAATTGTTACTGTCGAACAGCAGGGGCCAGTAAACCGTTATTATCGAGCATTAATAAGCTTTATAGAACTTCATCATTAAAACTAAGAATAGTAGAATATTTCTAACCCAAAAAAGATAAAAACAACAGCTTTAATTAAGAACTTAGCTGTAGCATTCTTTTCCTCGTTACTGCATACTGCTTAAACTATACAAGCCAACATTTTCAGTTAGGAGTAGGAGTAGTTGAGTTAGGTTCATTTATCCCCAAGGCATCGGCCAAATTGAAATTCAGATTGCTTCTCATGGTTCTGCTCCTTCCATAATCTTCATCGCTCTTTCTCATCATTGTAGCGAACTCTGAATAATCTATTCGCCCATCCTGCAAAAATAGCATTTCCAAGAATTGGAATTGAGACTAAAAACAACCTGAAATAAGTACACAATGTACATTCATCGTGCACTTTGATTCCTTCTTTTCCCTCGTTATTTAATTATCTGATAATGACTGTGACAACAATGACAAAAATCATAACACCATAAGAATTAAGTGGACAAATGAAACCATTTGATGTAAAACCTATATATACCGATATATAGACTTACATTATCCTGATCAATTTCTCTGATCATTTCATCCAGTTGGACATCATCTAAACCAAACTCTTTGCAAGCCTGTTGAAGCTCATCAACTGTGATGTAACCGCTACCATCTTTGTCGAAATAGGAGAAGGCAGCAATTAAATTCTCCTCTCTCTCCATCTTATTCAAGTGCAAAGTAGCAGCAAGAAATTCACCATAGTCTATTGTTCCACTATTGTCTATATCAGCCTGTAGAAGTTCCCATGTCAGAATTAGTGATTGTCCAAATAGATAGATGCAACAATATCAAAAACATGCTCTATTATTATGTATAATTAAACTTTCTATCTATCATTTATAATAAATCATTTACCGCATCCATTAGAGCCTTGATTTCAGATTCCATCAAATCAGAACCCACTCTCTTCAAACCCACTTTAAGTTCCTCAAATGTTATTGTCCCATTACCGTCCGTATCAATCATTTTAAACAACTCTTTCAAACCACCAATTTCTTCTTCAGAAAGTCTTTCTGCTATGACCTGGAAAATAATTTTTAAATTGCAAAAAGTGAATGCAAAATATTATGATAACAGAACCAAACTATTTATCAATTTAAAAAAGTGTACCATGTGATAATGAGACATGCTAGTTATGACGACAACTTTTATGGCATGGAATCAGGAATAACAAAGCAACTGCTTTAATATTTTATGATAAAATGCAAGTTCAATTTTACCTTGTTTCTTGAATCCAAGAGTAAAATGCAATCTAAATGAAAGTTCAGTCTATATGAAAGTTGAGTCTATATATATCCTTTGAAACACAATAAATGTTACAGATTATGCTAACTATTGATCTGAATTCTGTGCTCAGTGGTGGCATATAGGTCAGGGATATCAGTTCTTAGAAGTAGAGTTAAAAGATTTTAAGTTACGGCATCACATTTCTCAACTCCATAAAACCATAACTGTAAATTATTATTCACTTTCTAAAAGCCCTGTTATTTAACACAATATCATAAAATCTCATGCAAGACTGCAATTTATAATTCAAATGACATGGTAAGTTGAATATCAAATTATTGTCACAAGATTCTGAAATTTCTGGAAATAATAATAGGAAAAATATGACAAAAACATACACGCAAGGCCATCTTTTTAAGTTTATTCATTGCTGAGAATTTCTTCAGTCGTGATAATACTGCAGAATCCAGAGGTTTGTCAGGAGCAACTCTGTCATCCACAATCCATGGGTGACCTGAAAACAAATTACAATGTTATATATTTATAAGAATTTTAACGAAGGTCAACTACAGCTATATGCCTTCTATAACAATCACATAGCTTCCTAGCAAAATAAGAATGAATCAACTAACATAAGACTTCATGAGCAGAAATCCTTCTCCTAGGGTCTCTCTCAAGCATTTTTCGTATCAAATCTTTTGCACTTTCCGAGATTTTGGGCCATGGCTCAGATTCAAAGTCTATTTTGCCTTGTAAAATCTGTCTGAAAATTCCTGATTCAGTTTCTGCAAATAAGAAGGGAAAAAGAGAAAAAAAGGAAAATTTACTTCATTTAAATAAAAGAGAAAAGATAAAAGAGAAACAAAGGATCAACAAAGCAGCTGCATTCATATAGCTGCCCTAGAATAAGAGAAAAATTAACAGTTGAGATCAGCACCTGCCCAGAAAGGTGGAACCCCACTTAACAAGATGTAAAGGATAACACCTGCGCTCCAGACATCTACTTCAGGTCCATAAAGCTTTAGCAAAACCTCAGGTGCAACGTAATATGGACTCCCAACTACATCAGAGAAATATTGTCCTGGAGGGAGAATAATATAGGGGAAAAGTAAACAACAGTTAATACTTGGCAAACACTAGTTTCTGAGGGAAAAGTTCAGCAATGAGAGGGTTTAAACAGATCCTTTTTCTATGTTATATTTTTATATTATTCTTCCCTTGGTAACCTTTCTTATTCTATATATTAGTACAATCATTGAATACAATAATAAGAATTCAAATAACTTTATAAAGTAAACTAATGACAAAGCTGACCATATGAACTATATAAACAAGAAGGAAATATATTCTTAATTACAATTATCCATTTAATGCTTAAAAGTTAAAACTTTCCCACTTCATTTTCTCACATCATTAAACTAGGTGATAAATGGTACAAGAAACAACAATAAATTTTAGCCACAAAAAGTGGGGCCACCATGTAGTTTAGATGGTACAATAACATTAAGATAAATTATCTTCTTCGAAAATAACAGTTTTTCTTTGATTCGCTCAGCTTTTTGTTTGCTTTTTAAGGGCACTTTTAGACTCTTTACTCCCTCCGTCCCAAAATATAAGTCGTTTTTAGGTGTTTATTTTGTCCCAAAATGTAAGTCGTTTTGAGTATTTCAAGGAACAATAACTGATGTTTTTCTAATATTACCCTTATTTACATTAGATAAACTATCTACTTGCATAAGTTGCTCTTGGTTTTGAGATAAGAATAATTTGGTCAAATTACCTTTGGCTTTATTATAATTTAAGAGAAATAATTGTTTCCTTAATCCCATACAAAAAACCTTAAACAAGTTATATTTTGAGTATTAAAGGGTCAAACTGGACATAAGAAGGATGGCACAAAATTTTAAGGAAGCTTTATTGGACTAGGGCCTCTACAAAGCGGTTGCCCCCTTTGTTGCAATGGCAGTGTGGCACCCATAATTTCAGATCTGTCAATCACAAAAATTGAACATTTTTACAAGGCAATGATCGCTTAAGCAGCTCAATTCCTAGCAATGTTGACAGTTACACATTGGAACCAAGTGAATATTTCAAACCATAATTCTATCCCTTTTCTCTCTCACTTTCTCTTTCTTTTGGGCATATAGGTGCTTTGTTTATCAAAGTAAAATTCATTTGTAATTCACATAATGAAACAGAATATATATGTGTGATAATCTTATATCTCAATGCATATAATTCACGTTAAAGTTTATATCATATTATAAATTCTACCAATGTTATTAGAATTAGGCTCAAGTTTAACCATTTTAATGAAATTAAAATATAGAAGCATACCGCGAAAGAAGTAAGATGTATTATCAAGTAAATAAAACAATGGTAAAAGAAGCAATCAGTGGGAGGCAATCTTGTATGGGAAAAACATGCATTTTGAGTCAAAAGACCGTAAATAAACACTTTGAGAATACAAGAAATCCATATATCAAACAGGCTTCTGATTCAACAACACCAGAAAAAGTTTCAAATGCAAATTACAATCTTTAACAGACAATTAATAAAATGCATAACAAGAATATAAATTAACCAGGTTTTTTGAGCCAAGGAGAGACAAAAGAACACAGCAATTCAATCCCATCAACCAAACAATCAATAAAAATTTAGTAGCTGGACAAAAGGACTCCAATCTCCAAATAACCAAAAAGATCTAACTACAAATCTTTGAAAGATTCATACCAGATAAAGAAAAAAGGAAAGTGTAAAACAATGAATGCCCACAAATCAACGATTTTTTAGTCAATCAAAATCACGAAAAAATTATGAATGCCCTCAAACCAACCACCATCCCAATCAATCAAAATCACAACAACATATGAATTTACCAAATCATCAATAATAAAAATAAATAAAAATTCAAGAAATGCCCAATCAAAATGAGAAACAAGAAAAGATCATTTCTTCAAAAAAAAAATATTAACCTGGCTTGTAGAAGACAGAGAGCCCAAAGTCGGTGGCCTGAAGCTTGGCATCTTCACCGGGGGTATCAAACAAGAAATTTTCAGGCTTAAGATCTCTATGCATAACACCCAAAGAATGACAAGCCTCGACCACGCCAACAATAATTTTAATCAACTTAGCAGCTTCTTTCTCACTGTAATGACCCTTTGCCACAATCCTATCAAAAAGCTCACCACCTCCACATAATTCCATAACCAAGTGCACAAACATGGTGTCCTCATAGGTACCCTTGATTTGCACCACATTTGGGTGCTCAGATAGATGGTGCATGATTTGGATCTCCCTCCACACATCTTCATAGTCTTCTTTGCAAAGAAGCTTTCGCTTTGGGATTGATTTGCAGGCATACTGTCTGTTTGTGGCTTTGTTGGTACAAAGATATGTGGTGCCAAATTGGCCTTGGCCTAGTTTCTTGCCTATCAGGTAGTGGTCCCTTAATCTTGAGGTTTGATATGGAAGAACAGTGTTTACAGGTTTTGTTGTCGATGATGTATTTTGCTTCTTCATTATGGCAATATGGTTCTCTCCAAGATTTGATCGATCTCTGGGGTTGGATCTTACAATTTCTTTCTCTTCTCAATTGTTGTTTGTTTAGGTTCTTCTTTCCCTATTCCATTTTTTTTTTCACAAAGGAAAATTTATTGGCATTGGTTGTGTTAGGGACAAATCTCCATTTTGGGATGTTCTTTTAAGTGCTGTCCCCAAGGCAATGAGAGGTCTGATTTTGAATAAAGAAATATTAGAAAATTGTGCTTTTCCTCTACTATTTAATCTAGTGATTCGTAGGACTATAAATAATATCACGGCCAATAATTGTTTTTTGAATTTTATAAGTTTTAACTTCATAAAATTCAACTTTTTATAATTAAATTTATCTCTATCTATATATCTATAATATGCTATATCTGCGTGTATTTATAATGTATACTATTTAAAAATGTGAAAATAGAGAAAATAATTAGATTTGTGTTATGACCGATTAGAAAATTATATTTCATTAGTTGATTGGATATAATTTATTAAAATTATAAATATATTCATAATTAAGCATTTCAAAAATTTTAAGTTTTATTTTTTATAAATTTATTTTTTTGATAAATACATATGATAATTATATTTTATTTTTTAAATTTATTTTTAAATATTTGATTCCGCTTTTATTGTAATTTAAAATATTTTAATTAGGAGAGATATAAAAAAAGAACAAAGTATATTTTTTATAATATTCTATTTTTCTTTATGTTTATATAATTTGATTGGATATATTTTTTAAAAAATAAATTTTCAAATAGAATATATATAATTATAAAATATTTTAATTAGGAGAGATATAAAAAAAGAACAAAGTATATTTTTTATTAATAATTTCTATTTTTCTTTATGTTTATATAATTTGATTGGAATATATTTTTTAATATTTTTCTTTATGTTTATATAATTTGATTGGATATATTTTTTAAAAAATAAATTTTCAAATAGAATATATATAATTAAGCCTTTCAAAATTTTATTGTTCAAAAGAAATACAATTTCGAGTTCTCTCCTTGGGGGAGTTTACGGTTTCTACTTTTTTGGGACAGGGGTTTCTCATTCCTTGAGTTTTTGTCATCTTATTCTAGGATTCGCTTAGTTTAACCTGTCTTTTTGCAGGTGTCATCTTTTTGATAGGCAGGTTTCTACATCCAAGGCAAGATTAGTAGTTGTGAATATATGTAGTAGTGTTCCTTGTAATGGCTGATATTTCGACCGGTATCGAGGCTGAAGTGTTGGAGTTTGGATAAGGCGAGCTAGTTTTAGTCGAAGGCAAGAAAAGTCTTTGCTTAGTGGGAAAGCTATGGACAAAAAGAACTTTTAACAAGTTTGCGCTTATGGAGACTATGACACGAGTTTGGAAGGCAAAGTATGGAGTGGTGGCGAGTGAGTGGGGTAAGGACATATTCTTGTTTCAGTTTTACCACTGGAAGGATAAGCAATCGGTGTTGGACAATGCCCCATGGCATTTTGAAAAGAATATTCTAGTCTTGCATGACCTAGAAGGTGATGAGCAACCAACCACCTGAGGTGTATGAATGAGTCCATGGCATTTTGAAAAGAACTTTTAACAACTATTGCTTGTTATGATACGGGCTTATAATTTGCCTCTGAGGTGTATGAATGAGTCCATGGAGAAACTAATTTATAGCAAGTTGGGCAGGTACATTAGCACGCATCAAGATGAGGAAGTTATTTGGGGTAAATATATCATGTTCAGAGCTATTGTTGATCTTTCGAAAACATTATTACGAGGGACCATGATTAAGTTCAATGGGAAAGCTATCTGGATACCTCTAAAATTTGAGGGTTTGCCCATCTTCTGTTATTTTTGCAGTAAATATGGGCATGTAGTCAAGATATGCGAGGAAGTTGATAATCTGGGACATATTGATAGTTCACAGTTGGGATATGGAGAAGAGTTAAGAGCTTCGCCATTTCGAAAAGTAATAGTGCAAGTAATACTTCTGGAGCTAAGAGCGCTACTACTAGGAAGTTAGTCTTCAAACCGAGTCATGATGGTTTCAGTCCAGATTTATCTACCAATGTTACTTGTAGTGATTTGATACCTGATGCTAATAATCACCAAACTGGGCCACTACCAAAGGATGATGACATCCTTGACAAACTACAACAAATGAATGTTTCCATTCAAAAGAAGGTTGTTGATTTTGCGTCAACTATTATTGGTGATGAGGTATTTTACTTTTCTTCTACCCTTGCTATGAACCTAATACGAGCATCCCACCCTTCTCACTATGACCCTTCCCCAAATGCACCTATCACCATATCTCAGATGCCTATACCCCTTTGCCATCCTGATTCTCATCCATCTACCTTTTTAACCTCTTCAATTATAGAGGTACAACTCCCTTCAATTCAAACTACAAATCTTTCTTAAAACATTATTGTCAATCCCTCTATGGTACCCTTGTCTGCTACAAGCCAAATCCCTATATATACCCTCTCCTGTCTTATCTCCCCAAGTCAGTTTCATTCTCACTTTCGTTTCCATAGATTCAACCCCACCTCATCCTATAACCCAAATGAAATCTTCTTAAAAGAGGAAAGCCTGCAACATAAACTCTAGCATTACTTAGGTTGAAAATATATGTCTCGGTGAGAAATGAGTGACAGTAGCAAAGAGATAGCTTTTATGGATGTTGAATGCTCTACTCTTCCATAAAAAAAAAAGTGGATGGTAGGACAAGTTGACAAGCAGAATTTTTAACAGCGGAGACTGTTGGGCAGTCCCATCGATAGCAATGAGTCTAATAGCATGGAATTGTAGAGGGCTTAGGAACCCTTATGCAATTTGATCCCTTAAGAAGCTGTTAAAGCTTTAAGCTCCGACATTTTTTTTTTTGTCAAAAACTAAATTAATAGATTCAGAAATGGAGAAGGTATGTGTTAATTATGGCTATCTTAGTTTTATTGTTGTCCCTTGTGATAGAGTATGGCATAAGAGGTGGTTTGTGCCTTATTTGGGTTTTGGATATTCATATTTAACTTCTCTCCTTTTCTCCTCATCATATTTATGTTTCTATAAATGGTTGTTGGCGGTTCACAAGTATCTATGGTTGGCCGGGGGAACCTAAAAAACATCTAAATTGGGATCTTTTATTGAGTCTTGTAGGTGTAACCAATTTGCCTTGTCTTTATGGAGGGGACTTTGACGAGGTTCTATACCAAAACAAAAAGTCAAGGGGTACTCCTAAGGATTTGAGTAAGCTTCATCAATTTCATTCTACTTTAGATAATTGTCAACTGATGGTTTTAGGGTTTAAAGGGTACCAATTTTCATTGACTAATGGTCAAAGTGGGTCTCGTAATATGTAAGAACAAATAGACAAGTATGTTTCCTCGACATCTTGGCTGGAGCTTTTTCCTTACTGTTGGCTCAAGGGTCAATTTTATCTTGAGATTTTGATGATTATGCAAAATAAATAAATTAAATATTTTTGTATGTGCTAATATTATTATATGCAGATTTATTTATTTTTTTATATATGGAAATTGCTAAAGAAGGCAAGTTCCTATAAATTCAAGATTCTTTAAAGACCATGAAGATTATTGAAGATTTGTTTTTAGTGGTTAGTATCTTAGGATATTTTGTATGATAGAGAGAATATTCTTCTATAAGTATAAAAATATTTTTCTTCTGTCTCAAAAATAATTTTCAAAAAATTACCTTAATAATGAAAGACAAAATCGTTTTTAAATTCACTTTCCTAAATGAAAAGATTTTATCTTAATTATTATTTTTGATAACAAAATATTTGAAAAAGATTTCTATATCTTTTTACTTTCGAAAATTGCCTTATTCGAAGTAAGTCCAAAATCTCGTTTTTAATTCACTTACCATGAAAAGATTTTGACATAAAATATTTTTGGCAACAAAATAAATAAAGATCTCCATGTATCTTTCATTTTTGGAATGTCAAAAATACTCTTTAAAAGCTACAAGTTCAAACTTTCTAAAACGGGATTTTCATCCCTCTATAAAAGACGTCTTCCTCTTAAGAAGACATGGGTAATTTTATTTTTTAAGAGTAAGAGTTCATTGCATAATCGTTTTAATCTCTCAAAGCTCTCTCTTAACCCCCTTATTTCTTTTTGTCTTTTTGCTTTAAAAAATATTTTTAAGAGAAAAGAAAATTTTATAATAACATCAAAGCTCTCTCTTAACCCCCTTATTTCTTTTTGTCTTTTTGCTTTAAAAAATATTTTTAAGAGAAAAGAAAATTTTATAATAACATTTTTTGAAAACAATTCTGATCTTTAAATCCATTTTCTAAACTTGTTTTCTGTTTTTCCTGTGCTTATATTTGCATTTCTCTTTGTCTATATAGATTTTGTAATCTGTTGTAGACAGGATTTTCATTTGAAAAACTTTTGTGTAATAGCTTAGGTGAAAAGCTATGATGGAATAGGTTATCAAGCGACCTTTTCCTTGTGTGAGATTCTAATGTCTTGATGTTTTTCTATTCTCTGTGAGATTCTAATGTCTTGATGTGATTTTCTATTCTCTGCAAAAATAAAAAGGGTTGAGGTTGACTAGAACCTTTGGAAAATCTAATGGGACAAAGGGTTGATCTAGGTGTTGATCTATGACTTTGCAATGTTGGTTTGTCTCTTACTCTTGAAAAGAGATAACATAGTGGAGGATCTCAAAATGAGTATTGGGGAGTGGATGTAGGCGAGTTAATGCCGAACCACTATAAATCGCTGTGTTTATCTTCTTTTATTCTGAAGTTCTGCTTGAATCTATTCTATTTACGCAACTGTTTATCTTCTGGAAATGCAACGTTGTTAATGAATTTTTGTTTCGAAACATGAATAAGCTTTATCTTTGTGGAACATTAAAACTCTAGATTTTTGTATTGTGATTATACCAAGTTCTAATCCATCCTTCTATATTTAGTATAAATCACAATTTGAATTATAATCAGTTTTCTAAATTTGCTCAAAGATTTGTGAAATAGTTGTGAAATTCAATAACTGTTTTTCACAAAATCTTTTATATTTGTTTAAGCTTTGTGAAGTAGTTCTAAACGCAATAATTATTCTTCACAGAGTCTTTCTAAAATTGTTTAAGCTTTATGAAGCAGTTCTAATCACAATAGCTGTTCTTCATAAAGTCTTTCTAAACTTGCATCAAGCTTTGTGAGGTAGTTTTAATCTTGATAACTAACTCTCA